AGTCACATAATACATGTTTGAATCTACTAAAGTCATGAAATGGATGGCAGCAGGACCTAAATTCACTGGGTCCAATACCAAACAAATGCAAAATGGTGTAGTTCCATTAATTTCAGTGAAGATGCTCCAATTATACTAGCACAGATTCATGCCTGCTGTCTTTTGAGTCTTTACATTTGAAGTGCTACTGTGATTTTAAACCACCTTTGTCCCTTCCCGATTTTAGGCTGCTTTCAAGACTGGAGAGTAGGGATGTAAAAGATTAACCAGTAATCCCCACCTTTATAAGGTGAGGTTTACCAGTTCAAATTAACTGGTAGGGGCTGCAGCAGCTCTCCGCTTGCCCTAGTCAGGGGGCTGCTGTAGCCCTGCGGGACTCACCGTAGGCAGGGGCTGCTTCCATCATCCACAGCAACCCTGTCTGTGGTGGGCTGGTGCAGGCCCCCTGCTGCAGGTTACTATTGGGATACGTAAAAATTAATAGGGATCTAGAATGACTATAAATCAGGGCTGTGTCTGGACTGGACTTTTGCGGAAAAACTTGCCAGCTGTCTACACTGGCCGCTTGAATTTCTGCAAGAACACTGACTTCCTACTGTCTGAAATCAGTGCTTCTTGTGGAAATACTATGCTGCTCCCGTTCGGGCAAAAGCGCTTTTGCGGAAAAGCGTCCGTGCCAATCTAGACGCTCTTTTCCACAAATGCTTTTAACGGAAAACTTTTACGTTAAAAGCATTTCTGGAAAATCATGCCAGTCTAGACGTAGCCCAGGGGTCTAGCCAAAATAGGCATTGCCCTTTAAATGTTTTTCCCCTTTGTTTCTGCAGTGTGGAAAGTTAGCTTAAGAGTCCAGTCAAAGCAGGTTTTATTCTTTCCCTTTCTTCTTGTAGCCTAAAAAGATAGATAAGTATGCAGCTGCCCTTCTTTGTTGTGTCTTTTACTTACCCTCACTGGCTCTGTATAAAATATTTTCAGGTTACATCTCTTGTAATCTCTGTAACCTGCTGATTTTGAAAATTTGTACTGTAGAAAAGTTGATTTAATTAGAAATTCTGTAAATAGCATTTAGGGGTGGGTATAATAATATTCATCGCCTTCCTGTTAATATTCATTGTATGGGAGTTAACATCCTAAATAAGGTTTTATGGAAAGTAATGATAGACATGTGAATTAATGAATTCTGAATTAATATGCTAAAATAGATAAAAGGGTGTAACTGGTACCAAATTGTCACCACTAGGAACGCTATGTTGGATGTCCAAAGTAAACATGTGTAGGCAATAAAGCAGTTCCATTTACCTCATCCCTCCTGAGTCTCCTGTTTCTTCTCTAACATTGGGTGTCATGAACAGGATTCCAGGGGAAAGTCATGCCTGATCATCATGTCTCGATGGACTGTATGGGTAAATCTGACAGGCTCTTTGCTGCAACAACTGTTAGGGATTTTATTAACAAGTTGGTGGGGAAATGGGGTGGGGGAACCTTATGACTGTCCCTTGGGGGAGCATCAAGATTGGTTGGCTATTCAGGGATGGGCAGAATCCTCACTTGCATCCAAACTTTCCCAGAATGAGAAAAAGGTTGTGCTGGTGCAGATTCTGTGTGAGGGTCTGTCTGGCTTGTGGGAGGGAGTCTATTGGCAGTCAGACTGGCTGAAAACTACATGGATGAATGTAATAGTCCCAAAGCTGAAAACCTGTTCCGGAAGGGCCAAGTAGATGTCTTAAAGCAAACTTCTGCCCCCCCCCCCATTCTTCCTGCCCCTCTTTACCCACCCTTACCTCCCCATGCCTCTTCTCCCACTGAGTATGAGGCCCCATTCACACTATAAAGCCCACTTATCCTTTTATGACACAGACCACAGTTGGACTGGCACAAGGGGATCAGAATGCCATGCAGCAGGCTGCAGTTTTGTTGCACTGATCCCTCATTGAGGTGCCTAAAGCAGTTCCATTTAGCCCATTCTGCTCCTGGGTCACCTGCTTCTTCTCTAACAGTTATACACTGTGCTCCCGGGCTGCTCCCAGGGAACTGGCTTCAGAGCCCTCAGCAAAGCCTTCCCAGGAGTCCTTGTTGGCCTCACTCCCAGGAAGACGGCTTCACTGCAGAAGCAAAGCCTCCTCCCCAGGAATGCAGTTGGCAAGGTCTGGCAATCCCACTCCCAGGGAAGCTTCACTATGGCCTCTGCCGTGCAGAATTAAGTTTTATACTGCAGAGCCCACAGCACTAAGATTTTTAGTGGTTACATGGTTACTTTTTTTAATGACTTTTTACATCCCTACTGGAGAGGCCCCCAACATGACCTAGACACCTCTCGGGATCTGTCTCAGTTACAGCAGCTGCCTCCCGGGCCGGCCCTATGAAATCCACAGGTATATGGCTCCATTCTGCACCCCTTATGCAGACATGCAGTGTCTATAACATGCCCTTTTAAAAAAATTCGGAGTGGGCATATGAAATTTAGGCTTCTTTCCAAACATGGGGGAGGAAAAGAAATTCCTTAACACGTCATAAAGTTCTTGAGATCCATACATACTCTTCTAGTGATCGTTCCAAACCACAGCTGAGGAAATTATTCAAACTGATAGCTAATTAAATGAATTTAACATTTTTTCTGGTTATGAATTGTCCATGCCAAGCTCACCATTTTCTCTTTTCTTTTTTCTCAGTGAAAGTGGATGCACCAAATACATAATAGAACTGGCTACAAGACAGAATTTCTATGCCATGGAAAATTTTGAGGTTTCAGAAAAAAATCTCTCTCAGTCTGGGAGAAAAAATAAAAACCTCAGGAGAATCAGAACAGAATTTTTTTGGCTTTCTAGTTGCCAGCCTGACATGCTTTTGTTCATTTCGCTGTCATCCCTCAAGAAGAAAGTAAAATTGACGAGAGTCTTTTAGAGAGACAAGCGGGTTGCAGTCATTTTGATTTTTTCCAGTAGAAAGTGAAAAAGGTTCAGCAAAATTTTAATTTTCCTGCAGAAAATCTCAGTTTTGCAAAAAGGGCATTTTCCACCAGAAAAATCCAAAATAGTTCCATTTCATAACTTTGTATGAATAATTCTTGTCTTAGATGATCCACAAATGGTCTACTGAGAGTATCCAATATGCAGAATCCAAGCTCAGTAGGCTGATTGGGATAGACACATTGTCACAGGGAATATTTTTGTTTCCTAGTTGGATGAGCATGAACATTAGAATTATAATTCTAATATAAACACTCTATTTCAAAATCTGCTTTCTGCAAATTATCTCTAATATTTTTTGCTTTCACAAATATTCCTGCCAAACAAGAGTGAACCCAACTGAAACAAATTCCAGCACTGAAAAATTAACTTGAATGATGAAGAGTCAAGCTAAGTTGGACAGAGATTTATTAATCATTACCCGTAACAAGTTTTCTGCAGGAGAAACTATAGTATGCCATCCATTGTCTCAAATGCTGCCTGCAGTGACATCTGTGCAGCCTTGTTTTTTTCAATGACGGAATAATGAATGGAATTTGGTAAAGAATTTACCTGATAATGCCTCAGAATAACCTTATTGCTGTGATAGCTCTGTAGTGGTAAGGTAAGTCACAATTATTTTATTTTATTTTATTGTTCCCCAAGGAAGGAGATCTGACTCTGAATACATACAAGGAGCAGATAAATTAAGTTATTCCCTTCCAGAAGTAGACACACACTCAAGTTATTATTTACTGAAACTACTTGGTTACAGGGTATTGAAACAGAAATGTCCACTGAGAGTTTGGACAGATTTTCCATTATTTGACTAGGATGTATGCTCAGTTTCCTTATCATAACAGAAACACAGACTAAATTTCCATGAGTCACATATGGGACCACCTTGTAAAACTAAGATCTGGATCACAACTAAGCACCTCACAATTGTTCAGTACCAGGATTTTGCTTGATGCCCACTCTAGTTTAAATAATAGGGTTTGATTTTCCTGAATTGAGTGAAATAAAGTGTTTCAGAAGTGAAAAAGTAAGAGATTTAAAAATAGACAAAGATCAAAGAAACAGGAATAGTTTTCCTACATTACGCAAAATATGAAAAAAAGACCCATTGTGAGAGAAGTAGAAAAGGAGACTCCCATGTTTCTCTGGAATGGTGTTAGGAAGATACTTCATCAAAAACATTCAGTACCCTAGGGCAAGAGATGTTTTTGATACGTTGGCTGTATTTGTAAGAGACACAGATTATAGGGAACTGTTCCAGCATGTAGAAGATTTTGAGCTTTAACACTGTAAAAATGATAGCAGTGATCTGGCAGAGCAGAAAGTCTGAGAGATTGAGTTAAATCTGTAAAACTTTTAGGACGTGGGCTATGCAGAAAGCTCACATTATACCTCCACCCACAGCACACTTGCAAAAACAGGTGGCAACAAATTACCCAATACAGGGTTTATATTTTAGTGGGTCTCCACACTGCATATGCCATCTCATAGCTGCTCAATGTGCCATCTCTGCATACCCCCACATGGCAACTTAACATAATACTATCATATCCAGCATGCAGCAATTCACCCTCGCTGAGCTGCACTCAGCTCAGTGGTATATTGACCTGCTATCACTATAACCCTGACATGGCAGTGTAATGGCCCTGCCCTCTTCTCACACAGTACAGGTTGAACCTCTCAAGTCTGGCACTCTCTGGTCCAGCAATATCCATGATCCAGCATGATTTCAGTTAGCTGGATGTCCACTTATCATGGGTGTGACCAAGTTTCCCATGGCCCCATAAAGTTTGTTTACAGCCTCCAGTCCTGGCTCTCAGTGCTCTGTGCTGTTATTTAGCTCTAATTTACCCCTAAATGTCTTCAAGAGCCCAGTAAGCCGGGGACGTGTTGGTCATGCTCCTAGACAATATTAACCTTCCCTGCTTCGGCAAGTTCTCTGGTTCAGCACTAGTCAGGTCCCAAGTGTGCCCGATCTGAGAGGTTCAATCTGTAATGAAACACGCACCCACCTTTCCACATGTGAGAGCTACTTACCATATCAGCTCATGTGCTGAGCATCACAGCAGCTCCTTGTTCACCCATGTCTCCCACTCTCAAGCTCTATGTACCACTGCCACATACTCCTCCATGCTACATCCCCGAGTGCAGACATCACATACCGGTGGGGTTTATCCTATATATGGAGTGCAACACATGCCACTGTGTACACACACACACACCCCATAGAAATATACTGTGGTGCTACTGCTCTCCATCTCCATGTAGGGGATAGCAAAATGTAGTATTTCAAAATTTACCTATTTCACATAGGAGGTCAGGGAACTTCTCATTTTCCAATGTCAGGTCCGCTAGGCTTTGTGGGAGAAAAATCAAATAACTCCAATTGTGTCTAAAGGAGGGACTGTGCAGGATATCAAAACTCTCTAAAGAAAACTGCTGTAAGGGTTAAAAGTTTTCCAGACCTCTCTCCCTGTAACAGAGAGAAATCAAATTAGCTCTAATCAAGACCCTTACAATGCCTCCCATCTCAAATTCATGGATACTCCTAGTCTGTCACAATTTGTCATGTAAACCCTTATCTTTGTCACAGTTTGCCTTGTAGACTCCTCCACTCAAGTTCTCATGTGGCTTTGTTCTGTAAAATTTACTTCTAGCACTCCTGGGGTGAACAGAAGTCTCAGAGTGCTTCTGCTGAGACTTTGATATGTTAAAGAAAAACAATCCACACCTGAGCTGTCTGAACTTACTGTATAAAGATTCCCTGAATCTGTCTGTCAGGGCTGCTGCTTCACTCTTGGAAGTGACAGCCTGCATGCATGCATCATAAAGTTTTCTCTTCTAAGTTTCTTTCCTGCCTCACTGATTTGACCTCCGGCCTCGAACCCTTCTGGGGGCTCTGTACCCCAGGGGAGCGAGATTTCCCCCTCAGCTTCCATCTCAACCATTAGGTTGCTTACCTAGCCCCCTCCGTTGCAACTGTGCAAACTTTGGGATAGATTTTAGCCCTGCTGTCAAATCTGAATAAGGGGCAACATATAGCGGTTTTGCTGCCAGAACAGAGCAGGAACTTGATTAAGTCATGACTTTCTGCTTTACTTTAGAGGAATGCTAACAGATTCACTTTCTCCTTTATATCAGCATTGTTGAGCAGGCTGGCTGGTGTGATATGGAGGATGGGTGGGGACACAGCCAGTGCTCTGATTTTTTTCTCCACTCATGCCTGCTGTCTTTCCTACTCTTGCCTGCTGTCTATCTGAACCTGCACAGTATCCAGTAACTTAAGAAGGCTGTGAATAGGAATAGGGGGCTCTTGTACAATGTGGAAGACTCATTATGATAATATCACAAGAGTAAAAAGGATGAAAGGTGAGCAACTAACTAAGAAGAGGATTTTATGTTTGCTTGTTTAAAATTTGAATAAATGTTTATCACCTATTTACTTAGTTCAATTCACCTTTTGGAGAAATACATTCTCTTTTAAAGATTCTGATGCACCATCCCGCATGAGATGGCACAATTCATATCTCTGGGATGACTAGAAAGTTCTCCAGAAAGAAAGAGAGTGGACCTTATCTGGAATTCCTGATGGTTTAAGCCAGGGGTTCCCAAACTTTTTGACACGGGGACCAGTACAGTGAACCCTCGTTTATCGCGGTAGATAGGTTCCAAACCCGACCGCGATAGCTGAAAATCCGCGAAGTAGGGACACCATATTTACGTACTGTAAATAGAAACCGATAGGTCCCCCCACCCCCTACAAAGTTTCCCCTGTGATTAGCCTATACTGTATTGTAATTCCATATCATTCTTTAATGCTGCACAAAAGCCATCTGTAATGACGAATGATATGAAAGTATAAAGACAATAGGCAAGCACGATATGATACGGATATAAAAAAAGTCCGCGAAGTCATGAATCCGCGATGGTCGAACCGCGAAGTAGCGAGGGCTCACTGGAAATCCATTCACAAACTTTTGGAAGACCAGTAATGTTCATTTGCATATTCATTAATCAAATTATGAATATTCAAATAAGTTGTTTCTGGTCCTCCCAAATCTCCCAGGGCCAGCTTTAGCAAAGCTTTTGATATGGTCATCCACAATATTCTCGCCAGCAAGTTAAGGAATATGGATTGGATAAATGGGCTGTAAGACAGACAGAAAGCTGGTTTGGGAAACCCTTGTCTAACTTTTTACTTTAATTGGAACCCTTTTTTTTTTTCCAGTTCTGCTTTTTGCAGCCCAAAAATATAAACACATGAAAAACAAACTGAGAAAATACCAGACATATAACATGTCTGGTATTTTCTCAGTAGGTAAGTTGTATTATTACTAGATGTATCAGTTTGT